GTGAAGAAAACTAGAGAAGAGWGAGAGAYGTAAGAGAGTAACYAGAGAGAGATGTATGAATTTTATTACTTCTTCTTTCGTCTGTCTCCCAAAAAAACTTCTCTATAATTACATTCCTTATATAGGCAAGCAAATGAACCGACTAAATCGGTTTGTATTAAAATATTCATAGATATTTATTATATTTATAATACAAAGGATTTAAGTGTGAATCAATTAGTTGAAATTGGCCCATTGGTCAATTCGCTCGATCGAATCGAGCTATCTACACTTTAAGAAACTCGTGTGTTGATTGGTTCTTTGGAAGTTTGGTCAATGACAATTTTCTTATACACTTGCAAGAAGAAAGCTTCCCCACATCTTCTTTCTTATATATATCCTCAAGAGAGAACTCGGCCAATACTATTCAAAGAGACATACTGATTAAGCCCACTTTTGTTTACTAAAAAAGTTAAGGCCCAACACTTTTTAAGTAGATATTTACTGGTATATGATAGATGTCAATTATAAAATAAAATAAAAAGGGTTTTAAAAATGACAACAACAAAACTGATAAAGATAAAAGAAATGGACACTTTAAATCCGCAGGTGACTGTGAAACGACAAATATTGAAAAAGAAATTTAACAATGATGAGGTCTTCTCCGAGGGGCAACCTTAAACTTTTCTTGTAATGGCATTGTGAACACAAATTCGATTTTAATAAACTTAAAAGACATATATCATCATCAACTTAGATTACTTGGCTTCACGAGTTTTAAACATTTTTGGACCCACCCACTAATCCATCTACTATAATATGGCTAGCTAAACTATAATATTTGATCTAGCTTAATAATGTTTTTACTCTTTAACTTTTAGATGAAAAGATTCAAGTGTTTACTTAAATTTTACTATTATCTGAATTTGTGTAAATCGTTGGAGTCGAATTTAATTCACTCCAAGAAATTATACGTTTTAATCATCCTTTATTTCATTAAGCGACATCGATTGTTTCTTAAAGCTCACGATGTACTAATTATCATATACAGTATGAGTATAGTAAGTAATCATAGCACACACATACATTAGTTAGAAAAATTTGTACACGTG